TTCAATATAAAACTTAGTCTACTCGACACTTCGACTTATAATTTATAAAAACTTGATAGTTTTTATAAATAATATTATAATACTATTTTGTTCTGTTTATTTATCTGTACTATACTATATCTTATTTTTTGCTATATATCTTCTCTTTTTTTTATTAGTTATTAAGGCTACTTCCTTGACTAATTAGATTTTATTAGTTTGTTATTACAGAACTATTATATAAATAGTTTCTTAAGGTTTTATAGTTATATGATAAATGTATAACAAGCTATATATATAGCATTAGTCATTATTTAATTTAAATAGTTCACTATATAGACAATTAACTATCTGTTAGTTTTACATTATGCTACTATACTTGCAACCTATCTGTAAGTTATCTATTTAAACACTTTAATTATTAACCCTTCCTACTATTCTAAACTAATATCACTACTATATCTAATCACTTAAGCTAGTAGACTTATATACAGATTTATTTATTATATAGCTTAGATCTTTTTGAGATATATATTACCTAATATATTATAAACATGCAGAGCTCTAGTTAACTTCAAAAGTAATTTTTACTAGAGTAGTTATATGCTCATTTTACTAATTCATCTGAATTAGACCTTTGTTGATATTTGTACAAATCTAGTTCTTGTTATAGCTTTCTACTAGATATAGTCTTCTGAGTTTTAGCTAGATGTTTTATGAGATAGATTCTTCTAATCTAGTTAGCTACCAAGTCAAGTTAATATTACTACTAATGCAAAGCACCAAGTTGCATTATATAGTAAACTTACTTATACCTACTTGATCTATATCTTTTATACTCAGATTTTTTACTCGATCAAGTATTAATTAGCTTAACTATTAAAATCTATATTACTTTACCAAACTCAAGATTTCTACTATATAGGTTCTCTGCTTATAGATCCTATCAAAATCTATTTGTATAATATAATTCAAACATTGCATTATATTTCTAATGTCTAATTGATATTAGTACAATGTGATTTACAAAATTGTAACCTCCAAAAACAAACAAAGTTTACAGTAAATTAGATACAAAAATCTGAATAATTATTCAAATTCATCAACAGTAGAATTTGAACTCTAAACCTCTTGTATAATGATCTAATAACCTAATTACTACACTAAGATCACCAGATTTTATATAAAATTATATTTGATTTATTTAAATAATAATTATTAATAAAATTTTTGAGCTATGAGTTTGGTGAGACTCTTTGAGTTTGTTCACTTTAAGTAAACTTAAAGTAGACAAACTCAAAGAGTTTAGCCAAACTCATAGCTCAAAAATTTTATTAATAATTATTGTTTAAATAAATCAAATATAATCTTATAGCTATAAATAATATATTTATAAAATTTTAGAATTCTTTGTTTGATTTAATTTTTTATAAATAGCAATTATTTTTTAGAGGTTTGGAATTTGTTCAGGTTTGGTCAGCAAGTATAACTACTACTATATAAGATCATTTTTTATTATTATATTTTCAAATTGTTTAAAAGTTTACAAAATCTTTATAATAGTCGATTAGACTTTATAACATCAGTTTTAAAATATTTGCAAAAATATTAACCAACTAATTATTATATAATATTTATTATGTCTTGTCTAATACTAAGCTTCTATATAAAAACTCTAATATTTTAAGTATATATATAATTTTATACTAATTGTAGTAGCTGAAGCTAAACTTTTTAAATATATTTTTTTTTAGTTTTTTTTTTTTTTTTTATAGTTAGATTAGAATTTAAAATTAGAGTTTATATTAAAAGAGTATAAGTAGATTTTAGCAAGGTTTATAGTTTCAAATCGAAACCTCTAATTTTCAGCTTCATTTCTCACATAAGAATAGTATTGTAGTAAAAAATCTCAAATTTTCATTAATCACTATGAAAAGTCTAATCATGCATATAATTAGATTACAAAAAACTTCATCAATACCATCTCTAAATACAAGTGTATAAAATATTTTAAATATCAGCTTAGTCGACAAACATTTGAATCTAAAATATATGTAAACAAACACACAAAAATTTGGACTATTACTCTCTTAAATGTCTTTCACAGCGCTCTGGACAATAATGCAAAAAGATAATCAAATGATGCACAGCAAAAACCATTAAATATATTAAAAAAAAAAAAAAAAAATTATTTAACATTGTATCTTACAAATAAATTTGTTTATTGAAAACATATAAAAGGTTTAAATTGTAAAAGTATGTTGAAGTATGTAATTATGAACAAATATTATTTTAATGGAGCAGTTTCTCGTTCTAACCAACGAAGTCCTAGACTACCTGGTTTCAATAAAGGTCCTACTTTTCGTAGACATTCAGCATTAAAATCATTAAGCCATTTATGCTCAATAGGACTTAATAGAGATGCATCCACGAGACTTGTTTGAATAGGTGCAAATGTTATATGTTCGAATCCGAGATAACCTCGATCACCGAAATTATTTGGTGTATCTACTTCTTTGACGAGTAAGACAGTCTCAATACGAATTCCAAATTTACCATCTTCATAGTAACCTGGTTCATTAGTAACTGTCATACCGGCTCGTAGCGGCGAGTCATTGTATGTGATACGAGTGCCAATACCATGAGGACCTAAATGAAACGTTTGTAAATTGTAAATATTATTTGAATTAAATTCTTGAAAAATAAATAAGCTTACCCTCATGAACATTCAAAAAGCATCCTACACCATGACCTGTTCCGTGACGAAAATCTAACCCATCCCTCCATAGAGAAGTTCTTGCAAGTACGTCTAATAAATATCCTATAATGAAAGAGTTTAACTCATTAACAACAATTGTTATAAATTTTCTATTAACAAAAACATAAAAATTACCAGTGGTTCCTTTAGGAAAAATAGCCCTATCAATAGCAATGTGCCCTTGAAGAACACGAGTAAATGCTCGTTTTTCTTGTTCAGTTGGTGTACCAAAATGAACTGTACGTGTCACATCTGTGGTTCCATCTCTAGTAATAAAGGAATTAATAAATGTTATCAATTAATATGTAAGCAATTAATTATAAGGAGATTAAAAAAAAAAAAAACTTACTTATATTGACCACCAGAATCACACAAGTATAAAAGATTTGGATCAATAACAGCACAAGATTCTGGCTCTGGTTTATAATGTATAATAGCCCCGTTAGGACCCGATGAGGAAATAGTATCGAAGGAAAGACCAACAAAATCGGATTGTTCTCTAAAATTTAAATACAAAAATTTTAATTCAATATATTATTATAATAAAATATGAAATTAGCATGAACGGCGCTTACGCTCTGAATTGAGCTAGTCGATTAGATCCATCAATTTCAGTTAATGATTTGCCGTTTGCTAATTGTTCTTCCAACCAAGCGAAATAATTAATCTAGTATAGAGAAATAAATAAATAAATAAAGATTTGGAAACCATCAGCACATATATATATATGTATATAAATGCATACTAATGCACAGGCATCTCTTAAATGACATTGTCTCATGCCTTCCAATTCAACTTCATTCTTGACTGCTTTGGCATCAGTGATCGGTGAACGAGTTTCTTCAACATTGCACTATTAAAAAGTTTAATTAAAAATATTTATATAAATGAGATTTAAAAATATTTCAAGAGAATACATACTTCACCAGCCGCTCTAGCTATAGCCCAGCTTGTTCGTGTACTTATAAGGAGTTTCTTGAAAAAGATTGAAACTGATTAAGAAAACAAAAAAAAAAAAAAATGGCTAGAGATTATATTGAAAATTAATTGATAAGAATCAAAACCTGATTATTATTTTTCAAATTGACAGAATGTCTCTGTACATCTTCGAATATTGCATCATAAGGTTGGTATTTAACATCAGGTCCAAGATGATCTATGGCTTCCTTGGTTAATTTACGATCATCAATATAAAGAACTACTTCATCCTTAGTGATGAGCGAATAGGAATAGAAGACAGGATTATAATCGACTTCTGAGCCACGAAGGTTAAAAAGCCCTATATAAATTAAAATTAATGTTATACAGAGGAGATGGCACAGTATTATACATTGAAAATTTGTTGAAAATTTACTAACATGCAATCTCGTCAAGACCTGATACAACAAACCCATAATAACTTTCTTTGAATTCTTCACGAAGGTTTGCAATTTTTTCAGTATGCGAACATCCTAATTATATGTAATTAGGTTATTAAATGTGATGTATTAATTATATTCTAAATATTATATGCAAATAATATCGTATTGTTACCAGTATAACGTTCTTCTAATATCATAACTGGATTTACGGGACGTAGAGGTCTTTCATCTCCCCATACCAAATCAACTAAATTCTGGTTAATAGCTATCAAACTAGAACCAACTTGTTCCAGAGAATCACATAATGATCTAGCATCAGCTTAAATAAATAAATAAATAAATAAATATATATATATAATTAAAATCTGTAATATATAACTATTAAAGTAGTTAGATGAACCAAATAAACTTACGTGCGGTAATTAGTGTGGGATCAATTCCTATTTTCGAACCTTTTGGAAGATTCTATAAATAAAAATTATATTTTTTATTTTTTTTTATTTTTTTCTTAGTTGATAAATATATATAACAATATAATATTCACTTGCACCAAATATTCTTGCCAGGTGGGAACATCCGGCAAACCTAATTTCATCAATTGCCAATTTCTATCCAATTGATTACTCGCTTGAAGAAAATATCTACCATCCGTAAAAAGAGCAGCGGCATCATTAGATACTACAGCCAATCCTGGGAAAAAAAAAAAAAGTGAAAAAAATAAAAATAAAGTAGGCATATCATTTTATGAACTTTAATACACGTGTTTTGAGTGTGAATTACCTGCAGAACCCGTGAAGCCAGAAATGAAAGCCCTCCGAGCGTCACAGGCTCCAACATATTCACTCTAGAATTTGTAAATTTTATAAAATTCAATGCATAGACTTTTTTTTTTTTTGAATCCTGCCTAAAGAGACAAAAGTGTAGAGCACATAATTAAGGATTTTATGCAAAACTCTTTTCGTACTTGGTGAGAATCTTCTGAAGGAATTACGCTAAATAGTGTATTGAGTGAGTTCACGCAGTTATCTTGTTAAAGACATAATATTATACATAATGGTATACATACTAAGCTGTTATATCATACTTGCTGAATAAAGAACGTAAGTCCTTCAGCCGTTTTGTTGTATTGATGGCTAACGAGTGAGTTTTATCCGACATAAATCTTTTTATTAATGCGTTGGGTGAACAAAAAAGTCGGCAATATCTTAACATTTTCTGATTATGCTTGCTTCGATCGATGTTACACGGATTACACAGATCAACCTAATTGACAATATATTGATATTCAGTCTGATATAAACTTCAAAAATTTCATTTCAGTTTAGATATCGATATGGCGTCGTTGAAACCTAATGAAGTTAACTTGGGGGTTAGTATGATTTATATTATAGTGCAATAGATTGCTCTCTCTCGGAACTTTCAGTTTTATGTTAGTAGATATTTGCAAGGCTAAATTACATGAAAGGACTTATCACATATATTGAAATACATGGCTTTATTCATTTTATTCGTTCTTTAGACAACTATTATGGCCGTCGAGTTTGAAGGTGGCGTGGTCATTGGAGCGGATACTCGCACCACCTTGGGCTCTTACATAGCCAACCGTGTTACTGACAAACTAACTCCAATTCACGATAGAATCTATTGTTGTCGATCTGGAAGTGCAGCAGATACGCAAGCTATTGCAGATATAGTTCGTTATTACACACAGATGTATGCGTAAGTGTTGTGAAAGTAAAAAATTTATCAAAATTTTTGTAAATAAATATAACAAATATTAAACATGATTTAATAATTAGAGTTCAACATGACGAACCTCCAACGGTACGAACTGTTGCTGCCTTATTTCAGGAAATATGCTATCAGAATAAAGATAATATGTCAGCTGGAATTATTGTCGCAGGATGGGATAAATATAATGGTGGTACCATATATACTATTCCACTAGGTGGTTCATTGCATAAACAGCCATTCACGGTAGGAGGTACGCGTAATCAAATGGAACGAATAGTTATTCTATGGGACTCAAACAAAAGTTCATTAATTACAATGTTTTTTTTTTTTTTTAACGAATATTACCTTAGGTAGTGGATCTTCGTACATTTATGGTTATTGTGATTCAAATTTTAAGAAGAATATGACAAAGGAAGAAGCTGTAGCATTTGTAAAAAATGGTTGGTTTATTATAGGGGATATTAATGGACAGGATCAATTAATAATTGTCTTTTAATATGAGACAAGTTGGTTAATACCAGTTTCATATTATAAAAGATCAATTGATCTGAATCATTGACATCTTCTTTAGTTATATTTTCATGTATGACTTTTATAAATAATAATTTCGGTTATTCATGTACACAGCCGTTACATTGGCCTTGTCACGAGACGGTTCATCAGGTGGATGCGTTAGAATTGCTATTATCAATGAGGAAGGTGCAGAAAAATTTTTCTTCCCCGGAAATGAATTGCCAGGTTAGTTTAGCATCCTATTGTTAATTTACTCGTAATATTTTTAATAATTTTATTCTCTGACCATATATACCATTTACATGTTTAGTATTTTATGAAGGAGAGACATAAAAGATAATAATAAAAACATAATAAAATATTTATCAATTCATATGAAATAATGTATCAATTTCCTTATTTCAAATATAATTTTCGACAAATTTAATATGATATTCTGTTTTAATATTTGATACTGACTAGAATTTCGAAATCACATGATCTAAGATTATTTAACGGTCATGAAGCCTTTGCAATAGAAAAGGTCCAAACTGCATTTTAATTAAAGCTAAAAATTTAATAATATCTTTAATAAAAAATTTTTTATTTGAATTCTAAAAATATATAGAATTCAAATAAAAAAAATTTTATTGAATTTGGTTAAGTAGTTGGTTAAGATATTACCTCGAATTATTTAAAAATTAAAATGTAGTTTTGGCCCTTTTTATTGCAAAGACCTTATATACTTGTAATACCTTTAACGTAAAAGAGAATTTGTGCCCAGTTTATTGATTTTTCTACAAACCAACTTTATAGTAACACAAATCTTTGTATCACAGAGATGTACAGAAATGTTTATCTAAAAATTTTATGGCTCGTAACATTTATACTCATTTAAAATGGTATTCCCAATCTTTGCGAGAGCTTCGAGATTTACTCAAAATAAATTTCGAGATTTATACGTACGTAATGCAACTACCGCAAGTAAGCTGTCTAAAATTGCAGGTATTTAATTGCTTAACCTTTTTATTAAGTTAGTCGACCTCTATTTTTTAAACTATAATTCAAAAACGTATTATCTAATACTTTACTCCATGCATGATATTAATTTAAAGAATATCGAAAACCGATTATTTACAATGCTCTTGTGATCAAAGAATTGGCAAAAGAAGTGTACATCAAAGAAGGTCTTCGTCCGCCAACCATATCAGAAATTTCGCAAGCTTGGTCAAACTTGAAATCTATCCGATTACAAGAAATAGGGCTTAAAGATGCGGCTAGGATTGCTATAAGATCTGTAGAAGTTCTTGGTTTTTTTGCAATTGGAGAAATTATTGGAAGGAGAAATCTAGTTGGATATAAATATTGAATGAATTATAAAAGAGACCTCTCTAAATGAACTATTGAGACCCGTCTGAACATGCATTTAGCATTAGGGTGATCATCAAACTAATAAAATCAAACTATAAGTAGCCGTACATATAATTATTATTATGTGAGGATTTTTTAATAATTTCGGAAAATTAACTTCTGCAAATATTTTCTTTATTATCAATATAACTAACGAAGGTACGATATG